CTCTCCTAAAGAGGATAAGAGCAACAAAGCCAGACAAGATGCCGAAGGGGGAAAGACTCGCAAGTGCAAACAGCTTCCCCAACCAGTCACCTGCAATTATAAAATTAGTACCATTGAAATAAAGCATAACATTATAACTAAATGCTTTCCATAGTTATGAGACATTTTGAGTCTGTGGTTTGATAGGTGAAGCCATTAATAATATCATGTTTAAGGCTATAAAATATAGGTTATTAACTTACTTGAACGAACAAGGAATGAGGCCGATATATACTGATGAGCTGGCTTAATGATTATTTTTCTGTGCCTATTACATCTAGTAATGGTAGACTTAGTAATTTGTATTCACAACTACTTCACACAAATTCACAGACTTGTTAGTGCACTACTAGGATACATATCACTCATAAAAAGGCACAGGAATGAGGGTGCTTGTTTCTGAAAACTTCCTGTTATTATTCTAAAGAGAAACTCAAGTATGGGTTGACTGATATCAAAACACTAATATCATTTGTGATCCGGATAATAATAATAATATTTTACTGTAGTAAAATAATTGGTATTGACTGACTAAGTCATACAGTACAGTCAGAGACAGACATAGTCATAATGTATTAGCAATAAATTGTTAAAATTAGGCATTTAAACACAATAATGGTAGTGAAATCTTTAATTAAATCTAAAAGTATTTTTGGTTATTTTTTTTACCCTGCGGTACCTATTTAAAATTAATACAAGGCATATCAAAAAAATTATTTAGAGAACAAAAGGGCTTATCTAAAAGCCATTTGTAGAATTTAGTTTAAAAGTATTTTCAGGATATTTTGATATTACATGCATTAGCTTGTAGTACCTATGTATTTAATGAAATTACAATATGGCTTTTACAAGTTTTAAATAATGTAAAAAAACCATGGTTTTTTTCGGTTTTAATCCTAGTATTATAAACATGAGAATTGTGTTTGATTAAGTTGGGATTTTTTAGGATATAATACAAAGTCAAATGTTAATTACTGTTGGAATTTGTAGCCGAATGAACAGGGGTTTACAGTGTTCCAGTAGGGGTACACCCTTTTGTTAATCTAAGTTAACTAACTTCTTTTGTAAGATTAAAATTTAATCTATCTTGCTGCGATTGCCGTAAAATATAATATTGTATCTAAAAATATATTGAAAATAAGCAAAGTAGGCTGTAGGTATTAATATAATTTTGAGCCATACACTGTGTTAGTTTTGCTATAAGAAAAATTACCATTAAAAGCTTAGAAGTTATGTAATCCAGATTAATACAAAAAACTTAACATTGTCTACATAACCAACCGTCCAAAATATTTAATTCACACGGTCTAAGGCTAAAAACAGTTTTTTTTTTAGTTTTATCTCTTTGTTTATGAGGAAGCCATTGGATTCAAACCAGATAGAGGATACTAAGGACTACAATTTTATTCCTAAAAAAAAAAAAAAAAAAAAAACACTAGATTATATTGGAGTAGGTAGGCCTACTAATTACAAAGAAGCACTTAACAAGTTCTAAGAACACTCTATACAGTACTGCAATAAAATGTAAGATTCCATTGCAAAGTAACTTTTTAGATGACTTTTAATAATTTCATGTTGGCCTATTAGGTCAATAAAATCTGTAAATATTATCAAAAATCCAGTAAACTAATACAGTAGAAGTAAAGACTGGAAGGCAATTTAAATGCTGGTTTTACATTGAAATGAAGTTAACAATCATATTATACTATATCTAATGAGAGATAAGATAATGCCAATGTACTTTGTTTTATTCACCAAGTTAACATAAAACTAAATTGACACACAAACTAATTGTAAACTTAGGTGAATGTATATTTTGGTACGCTGTATTGGTGTGAATACAATTACCCTAAGGGGAAGTAAGTTTTTGGATTTTAGCATTTTCTATGGTTAGTGATTCATCAGGTTGATTATACAATGTATACATGTATAATACAAATTAGGTCTGTTACTTTCATCATTGCTTAGTAAAGTTAATTGGTTAGCTTTAGTAATCATGCATTAGATGTAATGTGCATTTTTCACAAAGTCATTGGGCTACAAGTTAGGTCTAACCAACAACTTGCGTGATCACAGTACCTACTATTATGATTGAGTCCCTTGATTGTGGAGACACCAATCAATCAATTATCAATTATTTAAGATGGGGACGCCACTATGTGTGTATTTTAACCCAAATATGAGTGAAGGATGAGTGTAGGATGAGTGGCGCCCTCTTGGATTTGATAGGGCGATTTGGTAGGACGATGTGGAAAATACGAATTACATACAGTGTAATTTATTATTACTAGTCATATAGTATATCATTTTGAAGAGGAAGAAATATAGATTCAGAGAGTGGCAGCCCTGCACTCAGGGTTATTTCTGTATGCTCACATGTAGACGACGTGAGTCATTACTGCTACAGTCTGTCAGCTGTCTTGTATTCGCCATTGTTTGTTTGTGTTGTTGCCGGTAATAGTATTCGTACTCGTGTTATCCGAGATTTATTACTAAATACATTATTAGTTCGTAGTGTTAGTGTTAGAGAAGTTTGTGTGTGTGTATAACAGTAATCTTCATGCATAAATATTACTGAATTGTGTGAAATAGTGTTCATAAAAGGTTGTACTATTTTGTTAGCATCATGTCCTAAAAATGACGATTCTGACATTCAGAGATTGTTGTACGAGACGGACCATAGTTCACCATGCTATATGCTATATAATGATATACCCAAGGTGTTATACATTTTTATAAAGGTAAATGAATACACTACAACATGTTTATAATGGTTTGGGGGTAAAAAATTTTGTAAAAAAGTTATAGCCTATACTAAATAGGCTACTGTATTTTGTTAGCATCATGTCCAAAAATGACGATTCTGACATTCAGAGGTGCTATATATGCTATATAATGATTTACCCAAGGTGTTATACATTTTTATAAAGGTAAATAAATACACTACAACATGTTTATTGGTTTGGGTGTAAAAAATTTGGTAAACAAATTATATAGGCTACTTAATACTGTACACTCCATTTTCTCGAAATGCGCAAACAATTCAAAACGTTCTCAAATTGATACATAATCATAGGTGAAAATAACTTTTTACCATCATACTTATGACTTTTTTGGATTCCTTACTTCATTAGCTTTACAAATATGTAGGCTACATAGGCTATCATCAGCCTACATAATGTTTCACAACACAAACAAAAACTGTAGGCTATAGTTTACACTTAACTTATTTGCGGTTATTGTATTATTATGTCCCTATTACGTGCCTACAAAATAAATATTTCTAACATGTTATACATTTTTATGTAGGTAAATTGAATACACTACTGTACAAGATTATTAAGTTGGTTTGAAGTAAAAAAAATTTGGTACAAAAGTTGTATAGGTACAAAATACTGTGAATTTTTTTTCTCGAGAAATCGCTAAAATATAAAAACATTATTTTATATACGTATGTTTATAAGTAAAAAATTATTTTTACAATAAACTTTATGACTTTTTTTGATTCCTTACTTCATTAGCTTTACAAACATGTATAGGCCTATATCATTATTAGTATACACATATTATTATAGAACTTTTTACAACATAAACTAACACTGTACGGTTTTCAATTTTTTTGGTTCTCCGTTTGTCATTATACTTATTTCGCCCCAAAAACTTATATAAAAAAAATATTTTCCTAACATGTTATATATTTCTATGTACCGTAGGGAATTAGATTGTCTACAAAATGTACATAATGAATTTCCCATAAGAAATCCGTGGAAAAAAAAATACCGAGGCCGCTTTTGAAATTTAAAAAAAAATTCAATTTTTTTTATTTTTTTTTAACTTTACCGATAAAATAGGTACACCGTCTAAATCATTATGATATTACTATTTCTAGATTCTCCTGTTCTTTCCGAACAAAATGAATATGAGGTTGGCTAGGTTTACTTGTACGGTTGAATTTTTACGAATTTTCAAAAAAAGGTCTGCAAAATCGCCAAAATGGGTTGGCCATTCCCCACTTCTAACATTGGCCACTGCTAGGGTTAACCAAACGATATATCGAATAAAACAATCAAATAATCGATATTTCCATTCAGTTACCCTCTAGCCAGCCCTGCCCTTCAGAGTGCCCCTAAGTTACGTTCTGATGCCAATCTTCCTTATTAGGCTACCATTCTGTGTGAATGTGTTCCTGATCGGTGATGTTTATTTATAAGTATTCTACATTGGTTAGGTCTACTACACAAATAGGTACCAAATTTGTAAGTTATCACTAAGTAATTAGGCTAAGCTATTGTAATAGGCCTACCAAGTTTTACATAGGCCTAGGCCATTAAGTAAATATTTCCTGTACTTAGGCCTAGACCCTTTTTTTGTGGCTCTAAGTAGTTGGAGAACAATAAATGAAAGAATTTGAATGTACATAGGCCTAAATATATCCTCAAACTAAGTGTATCCTCAAACTCTTTATAACTTAGGCCTACATGTCTAAAGATAGAAAATCTAACTCTGGGTGCAAAAGGCCTAGGTCAAGAGGAAGCTAACATCAAGTAAAGTGGATCCCTTTTAGGCTACGCCAGTACTAAGGTTTGGTAATTAAATTTTGGCTATACAATACCTTTAGGATACTCGACGAATGTCATTGAAAGAGGTACCCACACAAGATCACTATTAACATTTTGACCATCTGAATGGCCGTAGTGTTCGTCTGCGACGGCCATTTTCAACTTTCAAGACACACACACAACACAACACAACACAACACAACACAAATCACGATCAAAACAAACGCAAGGAAGTAAAAAAAAACATAAAAAACTGTGATTGGTTACTTGATTTATGGCAGCTTGTGGTTATTCACTATACAGTGTCATTGATTTTATTCCATACTTACTGAAAGAGAATATTGCGTTTGCGCTATCTTTGTAAGTACGAGCATAGATTAAACATACTCCTCAAGGAGGAGTATGTTGTATCTATGGTACGAGCTTACGTTCACGGCACGGCCGCCTTCAACTACAGGCCTTGGCCTGATAGAATTGGCAACGTCGCAAGTGGTGTTGTTCAGTGACAGACGTCGTCAGGTCGTCTGCAACATGGCGGGTGACCAAGTGAACTCTGATTGTGGTATTTGTAAAACTAAAGTTTTAGACAATGACTGTGCTTTAAAATGTGATGGGTATTGTAGTTTTTGGTTCCATTCAAAATGTGTACACATTAATAAAAAAGACTACGAACAAATAAGCCGACTCTCTGAAAAAGTTAGATGGTATTGTGCCGACTGTGATCTACGTGTGCAATCTGAAGTTCAGAAAAACGATAATCACCTTGATTTAAAGGTTTTGCTTGAAACAGAGCTGCGGGATATTAAAGTCATGATATCATCTCTATCTTCAACTCAAGTGAACATAAAAAACAAACTAAATGTTCTAGTGAATCATGGTATCAAAACCAAGTCTAATATTAACCTTATTTTAGAACACTGTGGCCTTACTACGGATGTAACCACGAATTTTGACGAGATGAAAACCATCGAATCATTGGACAAGTTGGTTGGTACCTCTGAATCTGCCGTACTAAATTCGTCGCCAAATGTTACCCAAACTGCGTTAGAAGAGTCTGTCAAGCTGTCAAGTGTCAACAGTGATTTTGAGGTTAGCCTTTCTAATCTTCAACCAGTTAACAACAACAAACCCTTTTCTACTTTGGTGATTGAAAAGAAACAGCCTACTAAATCTAGCCTACCCCAACAAACTACTAGTCAGATAACTGGTAACACATTTAACAGTAGTAACCCTGATAATAGATCAACTGCCATCAGCAAACCTAGGCTAAGACCTACTCGCATTTTTTCTAACACCAATGAAAATTTGTCTGAATCTCGAGGAAATGTCCCCTCTTATGCTGACATTACAAAGCTTCACAGGCCGAATCAAAATTATAGGCCTAGAGTTCGAGGTCAGTCTCAGCAAGATAAACCTATCATCGGAACGAAGGGAATGAGCGGTTCTTCTAACCTCAAAGTCGTCAAGAGGAAGACATGGATATTTGTTTCAAGACTTTCTCCTGGTGTGTGCTGTGATGATCTTAAAACCTACTTAATGGACAGTAATATACAAAACGCTGACTGTGAAGAACTACCTACACGATACACGTCCTACAAGTCTTTCAAAGTCGGTCTGTATCCCATGGATGCTGAGAAAGTGTTGGTCAGTGAGTTTTGGCCGGCTGGTACTCTCATATCTAACTATGTTCAACGCAAAAGAAGGACTTATATTGACTCAGGGTCTGTAAATGAGACTAGCAATTCTTTAAACGAAGAGCGCCCCAGTCTCCCTGCCACAACCTAGGTAATGATCATGACCTAGGCCTAGAACTCAATATCACATCGAACATTAGTAAAGACTTTTCTACAAATAGGCTTGTGCTAACATTCCTGTTTCTAAATATTCAAGGTTATGGTGATAAACAAACTTTGCTAGAAGATATGTCACTGCAACATAACTATGATTTTATATGTCTCTCTGAACATTGGATATCTAAAATAAATGTAGACTTCTGCACCCTTAAGGGCTACAATCTAGTCAGTAAATTTGCCCGTGATAGCTCTAGCAGAGGTGGAACTCTAATTTTTTCCAAAAGTGAACTTCAGTGCTGTGAAATTAACCTTTCAGACTTTTGCATTGAAAAGTCTATTGAAGCGTGTGCTGTAGTTATAAGTAAGCACAAGCTTATTCTTATCTCTATATACCGCACACCAGATAGCAGTGTATGGCTATTTCTTGAAAACCTGGAAAAAATCCTCCACCTTATCTCAAAATGGCCCAATTACAAAATTATAATTGGTGGTGATGTTAATGGCCAGTTCGACGTTACCAAGCCAAGTACTCCGGTCACCAGACTCCTGAACCTATTAAGACAACATAACCTGTATCACCACAACGACCAACCAACAAGATATAACGCCTGCCTTGACAACGTGTTCACAAACTGTGGCAGCGACAACCTCTCCACCTCTGTTGTTCCTTGTCACTTTTCGGACCATGATGGACTCGCTCTGTTTGCTATTGTATGTAAAAACCTTGAGCCTGTAAATACAGACGAGAATACCTTTATAAGGCCTTTCTCTGAACACAATCTCACACTTTTTAAGTCAAAAATGCTCAACACTGATTGGACAAAGGAATTGACTACCCTTGGAACACTACAACCAGGTAACATTTTTCAAAACTTTTTTGACACTTTTATGCATGAGTTTGCTTTGTGTTTTCCACTGATTAGATCTAAGCCTCAGAATAACAAGAACACACTTAAACATAGTTGGTTTGATGATAATTTATTCAGGCTCAAGGAACAACTTCATCTTAAATACCTTAACCTTAAGTCTAGTAATAATTGTCCTACCCTTAAGTTGGAATATCAAAATTCTAAGAAGTTCTATAGAAAAGCAATCAATGATGCCAAGCTAAAACACAATGCCAAGGTAATAGAGAACTCGCAAAACAAATGCAAAACTGCTTGGAAAATTGTAAAAGAGAACTCTGGTGGTAGTAGAAAAAAAGTTGACATTCCTTTGCATCCCAATGATCTCAATAAAGGTTTTATTGACTCTGTAATTAGTATTAGATCTGAGATAAGTAGTGTAAATACTTCTTTTGATGTTTTTCTAAAGAATGCACCTCAAACAAATGCATCTTTCAGGTTTGGTTATGTAACTTGTGATGAAGTCCTATCGGTAATTAGGAAAATGAAAAACTCAAAAACAAAAGATATTTATGACATTTCTAACTGGTTCATCAAAGAGACCTCCTCCTGTGTTGTTTTCCCTCTCACAGTATGCATAAATGCTTGTCTTCAGGAAGGACACTTTCCTGAATTTTTAAAATTGTCAAAGATCTGTCCGATTTTCAAAAAGGGGGATAAAGCTAGTCCTCAGAGCTATCGGCCTATCAGTCTGGTACCGACTTTGGCTAAGGTAGTCGAACATGTGATTTATAACCAGGTGAGAAATTTTTTTGAGTATCATGCTCTGTTCAACGAACAACAATTTGGTTTCAGGGCTGGACGCTCTACTACGGGGGCCATCGATGCCATGGTCCGCACAGTCTTCAATTGTTTTGAAAGTCGAGAGGCTGCTTGGGCCACTTTTATTGACCTAAGCAAGGCCTTTGATTGTGTTGACCATGGCATCCTCCTCCAAAAGCTGGAGTATTATGGTATCCGTGGTGCGAGCCTCAGCCTATTCAGGACATACCTTGCTGATCGAAGACAGGCAGTTTGCATAGGCAATACCTGGTCCTCTGTCCTATCCACTAACTGTGGAGTACCTCAGGGCTCAGTATTAGGTCCTCTCCTGTTCCTCATTGCCATCAATGACCTGCCCTTCAGCCTCAACTGTGAAGCATATTTGTATGCAGACGATACCACCATTCTAAGTAAGGGTGCAGATGTAACGCAGCTTGTAGCTGCAGTGGAAAGTAGCCTAAGTTTGACCTCTGAATGGTTTGCAGCAAATAAATTCCTTGTCAACGAGGACAAAACACAGTCTATGCTATTTAGCTTGCGGCCTATACCTCAAATGGAGGAAACTATAAAAAACAACTCAAATGTTAAGATTCTTGGAGTAATTGTTGATCCCCAACTAACTTGGAACTCCCAGGTACAACATATATGCACAAGACTAAGTAGGCTTACTTTTTTATTTAGAAAATTAAGGAACCTTCTGCCTCTAAATCATCTAAAAAATGTTTACTTTGCACTTGTCCAGTCAATTCTAAGCTACGGGATAATCCTTTGGGGAAATAGTTACCACATCAATGATGTTCTTGTTGCCCAAAAAGAGATTATTAGAACTATATTTAACAAAGATCAAAAGGAACATTGTAAACCATTATTTATTAACTTTAATGCTTTGACTGTGATAAACCTTTATATTTATAATGTATTGTTATCTAGTTTTAAGTTGCATGAAACCTTTGCTCTAAGGGGTGATTTTCATTGCTTTGACACTAGGAAAAGAGAAAACCTTGACATTCCTTTTACAAGACTGGAAAAGATTAAAAGAAGCCATATTATTATGGGTAGAAAGTTGTGGAACAAACTATCGCCAAGAATAATTCAACTCCCTTACAATAGTTTTAAGAATACAATTTATGAATGGCTTGTCAGAAACCCCCTGTATAAGATTGATGAGTTTTTTGCTCTACAACCAATGACATAACCTCAAATGATTATTTAATACCAGCCTTGCATGTATTTTCAGCCTGTCTATAGCTTATCTGCTTTTGTATGATTATTTATTTGCATGATTTGTAATAATTCTTTATTATTACTATTAGTTGCTTGAACTTGACTTGTGCCTCTACCAGCATGTATTTATATAATTTGACTGTGTCTCATGCATTTATATAATGTCTATAGACGAATAAATATCATTTCATTTCATTTCATCATTTCATTTCATCATTTCATTTCATTTCATTTCATTTCATAAGATAACATGGCAGACAGGTGACATCAGCTCATTAATTCGCACTTTATTGATTTAAATTTAAATTTATGAACATAGGCTACATTTATTAAAATATTGAAAATAAAACATACAGAATTGAAAACCGAAACAATACGAATTAAAATTCTATATCTGTACATTTTAAGTGGAGTCAATATTGTCATAGTCCAGTAACCAATCATTCGTAAATATACAAATACCATTAGCTGCTTCCAAACAAAACAGCTGTTACAACACCACTTGCGACGTTGCCACTTCGAAGGCCGCGGCCTGAAGCGGCCATGGTCTATGTAGTCAAATCCAAGAGGTATGGAGTAAAAGTTATTAAGAGTTAAATTCCTTAAAAAACCTTCAAAATAAAAGTTATTTGTGCAACTAGTGAGAAAAGTGAGCAATTGACTCACTTGAGAGAAATCCTTACTCACGAGCCGTAGGCGAGTGAGGAATGGTTTCTCGAGTGAGGCAATTGTACTTTGAACTCGAGTTGCACATTATACTTTTCCTACAGTTACCATAAAACAAATATATTGGTGAAGAAACATAACCTATTTTTACACAGAAGTGAACTTTTAATATAACATTTAATGTGAAGTGACAAATACAACAGCTGACCAGCTGATTTACAGCCAGTGCTGCCAACATATTTCGCGCGCATACGACGTCTCGCCTGCATGTTACGAGCTTACTATTTCGTGCCTTCACGTTGGAAATCTGGAGTGAGACAAAGTAATTAGAGTGAGACAATGTTAACACTGATGTTAACTGATGAGCGAATTGGCCACTTTGCTTTCTCAAATCAGTGAGAGAACATCTACATTGTTAGGTAACTGTAGGAAAACAAATATAACAATTTTTGAATTCCAAAAATCCTTTCTTTTGCACCTTTCAATCCAGACAGAGCGTATCTTTTTTTGGAAATCTAAAATATGACACCTATGTCGGATTGAGTTTTGGTTTTAGTCTTAAAATAGGCAACTTCATTGTATATAGCTAGAGCAAAATCCATAACTAACTTCTTTTATCTCAGAAAGTAAAGTAAAGTTTTTAGAAAGTAAACTCGTATAAACACACAGAACAAACGTGCACTACTTACATAACAGAAAAATCCTCTAAACACGATAATTATAGAGTATAAAATAAAAAAAATATATATATACATACGGAATTATTATTTTTTCCTTAAAAGTACCTGTGAACCAAAATTTCCTCGAGGAAAATCATTAGTACCGTATTCTCTGAGCGTATTATTTTGTCAATGCCCAATGCTATTTATCCAAACAAATTTTGTGGTTTGTGGGTTTAGCATGTATCTAGCGGCAAGGCGGCCGTTGCCGGGACTGCAGTGACGTCATCGCGTGCAGTCCGCTCTGTCTGGCTCACCTCTTTTACTCCATACATCTTGAGTCCAATCTACCTCTACCTGTCATGTCACCTGTGCCTGTGACCTGGTCGTCCTGGTCTGTCAGCTGTCTGTGAATATTTGATTGTGTGTGAGAACAAACATAACCTAACCCTTATTATTGAATTGATTTAAAAAAGTTACTTCTTACTAAGTAATTTCCTCGTAAATATATTGAGTATGTCTATGACTTCAATATTACAACGAAGTATTAATTCATGCATGTTTTCAATTATTTGACTTGATTCTTAATCGGTCTGGTCCAGGTGAAATAATATAGGGTACATTGTTTGTTTGAAGGGAAATCTACTAACTTACACCAGAAATGACGGAAACCCAAGCAAATCAAAGAAATACTAATATTTCTTCTGCGTTGACATTTAATATTCTAGCATGCTGTAATATGTCAATGGCAAGGACAGCGATAATGAAATTACCACATTACGATGTGGAAACTCCAGTTTTCATGCCAGTAGGAACACAGGTAACTAAACTTACATTAACAAAAGTGTACAATAGATAATTTAGTGCAATTTCTTTGATTTTTTTGGAAACTATTTACTGTTTCGAGAACACAAGATCAGTCCTTCTTGAGATGTCTACTAAGAGGATCTTTAGCTGGCAGCAGCTGGTGTGTGTGATCCTATCTACACAGCGGAGACCAAAACGGAGAGACCGTTGCTACAAGCCAGACCAAAATACAGTGGCAATACCCTGTTAACTTGATTTTAAAGGGATGATCGACAGAAATTCTGTTTCCCACCAGAAGTCGATAAACATCAAAGGGTGTTCCAAACATTATGAAACAATTGTTTCTGAACCTCTACGATGTTTGCAACCCTTCCCCGCTACCCACCGCACCTATTGACCACCACATGACTACTTGCCACACACGCCGCCGTGGCCAATGAAGATCCTCTTCTGTAGACATCTTCAGAGGGACTGACCAACTGACACTGTGTTCTCTTTTTTGTAAACACATGTTCCTAACCCCAGTGTAAACGCGGCTTTAGTCTGACATGGCAGTAGGGCCTATGTACTCTTTGAAGGAGTGGTGAATCCTTAATGCTAGTCTAATCACAGGTGCCCTACCGTCCAGCTATTCATGCCTTAAGGTTAAAGCTGAAAGCTAAGGTATTTACATTTTCCTTGGAGTGTGGCATACTATACTTATATCTTTACCTTTTAGAATCTTTCTCTTTTATTTTTATGAAAACCTGCAGACCCCAAATTGTCTAGGTTTTAGTATTGCTTTCTGCCTTATTGAAAGCTTTACAGTTTTATTTGAAAAAAATCTTTTGGCCTCGTTTAAAGGAGCTTTATGTATGTAATTATTGACAAATTGATTTTATTTCACAGGGCACATTAAAAGGACTTCTACCAGAACAGTTGAAGGCACTGGACTGTCAAATTATGCTTGGGAATACTTACCACTTAGGAACTCGCCCAGTAAGTATGATTTTTGCTTTAGGAACTATTAATTGGATTTTATTCAAAACGTTTGAAACAAAAATACTGTTGGTTGAGATAACTTCAAGGTTTTTTTAAACTAAGTGTGTTTTTTACTAAGTGTGTTTTTCAACTAAGTCTAAGTGTGAAATTTTCTTGTGGAAAATTCACCTGGCTTAAATTTTTTTAATGTTTAAATTTTTGATCTAGATCCTCTGAAATATTGTGAAAATTATATAGGCTAGTCCTAACTTAAAAAAGGGAGTTTGTCTTTATAAGACAAAATAATGCCCATGATCTTGCACTTAATTTCATGTGATCCAGTAGGTTGTTAGACTTATTCATATTGCTCCAGTGCAAACGGACGTGAATTCATAATTGCAACTAAATTGACCTAGATACACCCTCAAATAAATCGGTTACCCCGCCGCAGCAAAACAGCAGAATAAGTGAATTTCCATTTGCCTAATTTTCAATTGAATATATGGTACTTACGTATTATACGGAGGCCACTTATTTTACAGCGCGCTGCGGCGGTTGGGTTAAGTTGGGTTATCATAAATATGTTTGTAGAACTTTCCTAGTTTCGATATGAATCGAACTACGAGATGAGTCATAAAAACTTATGATAACCTAACCTAACCGCCGCAGCGCGCTGTAAAATAAGTGGCCTCCGTATAATACGTAAGAACCGAATATATTTATATAACATTAGGTTCAACAAGTGCCTATGCTTGCTGCAAAAAGGGGGGGGGGGTGGGCTAATAAAGTGTGCTTTTAAGTAAAATTTTAATAGTTTGGTATAAAATAAATAAATTTGCCAAGTTTGATCAAATTATATCCGCAAACAAGCAAACTACAACAGTTTAAATACTTTCATAAGGATGAAATAGGAATTTTAATTTTACAATGTTGTAAGGATAAATTGGGAAATTATCCTCCCAAGTTAGTGAGTCGGTGGCTCATTCGGTAGCGTCGTGGACTTCGGGCCCAAGGCAGCGATGTCGTGGGTTCGGATCCTGGTTACTGCCGTAAACATTTTATCAGTACAAATCACCTTTGTACTGTACCGGCTCACTCCTTTCATTGCTGTATACAATCCACGCACTGGCGGTTAGTCTATGTGGATAGGCAAATGCAAGGTTAAAAGAGGCTATCAACCTCTCTTTTGTAATAAAAAAAATTACGTTTTGAGGGTCGAAAATAGGAAAACCAATTTTTACCCAATAAAATACTGTTTCCATGATCTCGCCCTAAATATTCAACCCAAATTTCATCATAGGGGTTGGACAAAAATTACTCACATTGGCCAAATACTCGCTAAGGTCCACGAGCAGGAGCAAGCATCCTCGGTTCCCATGGCTTTGGCCTAGCGGTAAATAATAATTGTTCGATTTTCCTTCTGCATATTATCCCATTATTAGCCAGATGGCATTACTGCCGTTTCTTTACTATTTTAAAGAAGAAAAATAATTTAGTGATACGATAATTAGGCTACTGTTGTTTTTGCTGGGTTATTATATATAACGTATATATATTACTAAGCAAATCAAAATACCACAGTACCCTAAAAACATTTTATTTTATATTACTTACATGTTTCGGACATTAATGCCATGATCACAGTATAGTATATAACCTATTAGTTTCTTTTATTTACAAACATTATTAGATATTTCTTATTAAAGAACAGGTGATAATTTTTATATTAAGGGAAGGAGGTGTTTTCTTTAAGATGTATAATTTCATTGAATATTACGTTTTGATTTTGAATTTGTGTCAAGTTTAGTAAATTGTCTTTGTCATTAATATGGTGAGTATAAATATAAAAGTCTTCCTTTGTATTCATTTTTTCACCTTTATTTTCAATATCCAGAATGTGCATATTTTTATTCATTTCTGAATATGTATGGTCGGTCTGAAGTATATGTTCGGCGTATGATGATTTTTGTGTTGTCATATTGTTTGATCTGATTGCCTGTATGTGCTCTTTGTATCTGACTTCAAATGTTCGACCTGTTTGACCAATATAGTATTTTTCACAGTTGTTACATGATAATTTGTAAATTCCTGATTTCTTATATACATTTGGTGGGTTGAGTATCGGATTTGTTCTTTTTTGTATTATGTTGAAAGCGTTATTCCTTGTTTTATAACTTAGTTTAAATTTTGAGTTCGGTAATGTCTTTCTTAAGGTTTTGTTTAAGGATGAGCTGAATGGAATACATATAAATTCTTTCTTTACGTTTTCTTGTTCTTCTACTTTCGTTCTTTTTGTTTTTTCATTTTTTATTAATTTTTCAATCATTTTTTCTTTGTATCCATTTGTTCCTGCAATTCTTTTTATAGTTTTCTTTTCTATTTCAAAGTTGTCTTTAGACATTGGTATGTTAAGTAGTCTAAATACCATTGATTTGAATGTAGAAATTTTGTGTTGCCAAGGATGGTTTGACTCAAATGGAATGATTAGGTCAGTTTGGGTAGGTTTCCTATATATATTGAAATTATGTCGATTGTTTTCTTTAGTAATTGTTATGTCTAAGAAATTTATCTTCTTTTCTTGTGTCTCCATCGTATATATATAAAACGTATATATATATATATAGGCTATATCCCCAAAAGGTTTCCTGGCTACGACTTTGCACAGTTTAAATATGATCTGAATAACAATTTGTTGTTGGAAGGGCCCAGAGTTGATCAAGAAGGCAGGTGGATTACACAAGTTTATGGGTTGGGACAGAGCTTTGCTGACGGACTCTGGAGGCTTTCAAATGGTGTCACTGTTGACTCTAGCTGAAATCACTGAGGAAGGGGTCAAGTTCAAATCACCTTACACAGGTATATTGGAATACTGGAATTATTGCGTTTTAAATTTCCTAATATTTTCTTGTATTTGTGAAAATATGTCTATGTTTTATTGTAAGTTTGTAATCAATGGGCAAAGGAGATACAGTTCTTTGAACAACAAAACATAATCTACAGAAGAACTCCAATTGTCTGAATCAATTGGGAACAAACCTTATTCGCATAGTAAAAAATTTGGATAATTGGATTTTTATTTTTACCAAAATTTAGGGTACGGTATTTTAATGAAAATAGGACGAGTCATGCAGAGCTTTTACTATTGCTCTTGCCGCGATCACAGCGTACAATTATGATTTTCTGTGACTGCGGCAGATAATGATGTCTACAAGACCACAAAAGATATTCAAGATTTTGCCACGATTGCGGAAAACAACAATGTTGATGTTTCTCTGAGCACGGGAGACGATGATGATGTCCACACGATCGCAAAAGAGGTTTTTTGTGAATTTTGCCGTGATCCTGGCATCTGCCTTCTTCAGGCCTATTGACGATTCTTATTACTGTGGTTTTAAGTTTTTAAAATTAATTATGTACCTAAATGATTTGGATAGCTTGAGTTCGGATTTAATTGAAGTTCTACTGCAATTGTGAACTAGCAATATATACCTTTGGACAGGTATTTAGTGTACTGGTTACATTTTTAAATCTAAAACCAAACAACATTTAGCTAATTGTCATCTGTGTGTATAAATAGACCTAATTATGAACATCCATGGCACCCGTAGGATTTTTCAGGGGGTGTTGGGGGAAAACTGCCATCTTGATCTAGAGGTAAAAGCTAAATTTTTGGCTGGCTGTCTAAAACCTGAAATCATCTATAAAAACCATTAAAATTAACTTTACTGTCTGTGTGAACTGCTTTCTTCTTTTGTTATATTTAACTCTTTATAGCTTTTGTTTGTAGTGTTTACACAAAATTAACATTAATTTTTCATGAAATATTTCAAAAGCAAATATTAAAGAGTTTTTTTGCATGCTAATAAACTAGGTGCAGGCCTATGTAATGCAGTTGTCTGCTTGCAATATTTAGCGGAGCTAGCATATTAATCCAATACTTTATAAAGTCCTTGCTACATCTGTTTCTCATAAATGAGATTAAATACTTGCAGTTTCCAATGTCAATTATATATTTGGTTCACATAAATGGAATGTCTATTTGCAGTACTGTATTCAAAGTCAATTATAAGTCTGGTTCATGTAAATGCAGGAACCAAAGTCCAAACCATATAGAGTGCCTATTTGCAGTATCCAAAGTCAATGGTACGTCTGGTTCACGTCAATGGAATGTCTAACTTACTTGCAGTATCCAAACTTACTTGTATAAAAATAATAATAAATTTCGATACATCACTTGTGTTAACAATGAACTCTTACACTTTCAGAAGACCAGGAGCTAATGTTAAGCCCTGAGACTTCAATAAAAATCCAAAATGCAATTGGTGCAGACATAATCATGCAATTGGATGATGTGATAAAAACTACGTCCACAGGACCTCGGGTGGAGGAAGCCACATACAGGTGAGTTGGTTACTACACTCCATTCAAATTGTGACATTTATAGCCTGGAATGGCTGAGGTGTCTCGTGTAACTGTACTGGCTATAAATACCTTAAACACTTTAATACTCAGCTATCTAGAATCATCCTTAGGTGAACATGGATTACTTTAAATTAATTACTCCTTCACGTTAAGTTTACCACTCTTTGAAATAGATATTTTTTTATTATAAATGTTAAATTAATAAATTTTATTTCAGTAAACTCATCTCGTCAGATTTTAAGTAAGCTGATTATACAATAGCTGACAACAATATGCGACAATAAACTACAATCAATATCTTACTTTCATTAATTTAATTACTTCCAATCAAATTTTACAAGTGACAAACTAGCACAGCTAATATCCTGATTGAACATTGAACCTCTTGACATATGCATACAAAAGGCAATCTGGCACAAGTCCCTCAGTATTTCTGCAGACCCCTCATCAAATCCAGCTCTAAGACTAAACCCACAAGAAACTCATCACAAGTCCTCTTTTGCCTTCCAAACATCATCAATAGCAGAAAATACACAAAATATCCATCCAATACCATACCCAACAATCAACAAAATCCCACCTTGGTGTTTTCGACCCCCGAAAATTGAGCTAGAACTTCCAGGATTCACTTCAAAAAAGGATCATATAGAAACACAAAGAGCCGTGGCCATAGAAATGATAAACACAAGGTACAACAACTTTTACAAGATCTACACTGATGGGTCTTTGGACCCCACCAAACCAAAATCTGGAGCCGGCTATTTCACAGAACACTCCAACACCTCCTTTTTTGTTCCAACAAATTCATGCTCAAGCACCGAAACCGAGCTTCTAGCCATCAACGCAGCAGCTGCCCACTGCATAAGTTTGGAGAGTGAGAACATATGCATCCTCAGCGATTCAAAAAGCGCACTACAGCTTCTAAAACAATATAAGCCTTCAAACTATTATCATATAACAGAAGAAATATTTCATCTCCTGGATCTAGCTTCAGGCAAAAATATTTGTTTACAATGGATACCGGGTCACTGCGGACTGCACGGAAATGAAGAAGCTGATAAAATAGCAAAAGCAGCCTCCAACATGCATCCAATACCACCGAAGCAACCAACTCTCTCCAGTTGCATAGCCACAGCTCACAGAACTCTGAGACACAGGTGGGTAGAGAGATGGAACGATGAACCTACTGGCCGCCATCTTTATAGCCTCCTCAAAGAACCCAACAACATCGAAGTCTTCAAACACCTTCCCAGATCAGTAGCATCGTTTGCCTCAAGAGCAAGAATAGGACATATAATTACACAATCCTATCTCTTCCGATTTAACCTGGCAGAGTCACCCCTGTGTCTCGTTTGTCAATTGGAAGAAGAGACTCTAGAACACATCCTCCTGCATTGTCCCAGCAAGTCAGACGGGAGAGATGAGCTAAAGAGAAAACTCCAACCTGACTGTTCCCTCAAAAGAATCCTGACTGAGCCTAACTGTTGGAGATTAGCAAGCTATGTATACGAGAGACACCGTGTGGTCGGCATCACTTGAAGCTGGAAGCACGCACCAAGAAGTAAGAAGTAAGTAATATCCTGATTCTAGCAGATTCGTTTTTTCCCTAGGCTGTGTATTGGACGCATGTTTTAAAATTTAAAACCAATTGTTTTTCCCTAACTATTACACACTACTATTAACAGGACTACAAGATGGTTGGACCGTTGTCTTGCCGCCCATGAGAACCCTGGCACACAGAACATCTTCCCCATCGTGCAAGGAGTTCTGGATGAGCGACTCAGAGTCGAGAGCGCCAAGCAACACGCACAGCGCGACGTCAGGGGCTTTGCTATCGGTGGCCTTAGGTGAGAACCACAAGATACATGGTTAGACTTGGTTCATCTCAATCTTAGTTGAAACCTACCTAATGGCAACAAGGGTGCCTAGCCTCTCCTTAAGAAGTGTCACTTTTCACTTTTAAGTTACCTTTTTCTGTAAAGAATTATCTATTGTTAATAGACTATCTGTCATACAGTAATACGGAAAGTTCTTGAATTTTGAATGCAAAAGTTGATCACTAAGTAAATTATGAGAGCATTGAATTTGCATGGATCTTTTTGGCCAAATTATAGTGTTTAGTATCATTATTCACCTCACCCCACCTCTAATCTTGATGTGGGTTTGTGTCCCAGTGCTGCCAATATTTGTTCAGCACAGTTCATTCTTTTACTGATGTGACTCATCCCTTGTTTTGCTTGAATGTTCCGCGCACAGGGCAGAGGCCCTTGTGTTCTGGCAAATGCAAGGTTAAAAGAATCTACCGCTGCAGCCAGGATCATAACTATCCTTGTGTATAAGTGATACTTTTCGTGTTTAATATGTTAATTTATTTTGATGTCTTAACATATTGCATGCTTTAATAATGTTGTGCTTGTAACTTAACTAGTCGAAGAAAAATTTGGCCTACAGACGGAGGTATTTTGTCATAAAAGAAGCCCAAAGGCTATAAAATATGTGTTCCACAGTGGTGGAGAAGCCAAAGATGACTTCTGGCGGATGGTACATCTGTCCTCTACACATCTGCCGGATGACCGTCCGCGCTATGTCATGGGCGTCGGGTTTGCGGTGGACCTTGTAGTGTGTGTCGCCCTGGGCGCGGACATGTTTGACTGTGTGTTCCCTACCAGAACTGCTGTAAGTAATGTTACTATTGATTACAAACCATTAGGAACATAGGGAAGGTTACCTCTGCACAAGTATTTAGTTTAAAAGGTTACAGAGTATAGGTTTGATAATCTGACCTTAGATATATATCCCCTATAAATACAAAACTGACTGTTAGAGAGTTTTCGTCACTCAGTTGTCACTTGTCTGTCATCGGTAAAATTAACGTTACATGGCCCAAAGTACGTGGCCTGGTGACAGCCGATATTAAAAATTACGAAAAGTTCTGAGCTTTGGTGAGTGTAGAGAATACCAAATTGGGCTCTATTTCATTCGCATATATTTTACAAAGGTTATTTTATTATTTTTACAAGTTTTATTTAGATTTTTGTCACTGGCCCATGTCCTGGGCAGGATTCTGCATGCACAATCCTAAACATAAATTCTGTCTTATCCGAGACTATGTTATTTACCAAGCACTTTAAACGTTTGATATTATTTTTGTTTCATAGTAGTAGTTACTTTATTTTTATTATAGTCTTTTTATAGTATCCTATTATTAGAGTTATTGGTTTTATTTAAAAAGCTCATACTATGTGTGAGTGGCACACCCAGTGTGAGTTTTATTTGCGCTCTGATTGAAAAAGGATAAGTGATAAGAGCAAACCGTACCGGTTTAATGTGTTATAGTTAAAATAAAAATTTCCAGAAAGTTGCCAAAATTGTTTATTGGTGTAGTGCCAATTTTTTCCCCAACTCCGACTTTTTTCCTCCAACCATGGTATCCTTAATATCGCCATTCTTTATGAACTTAAAAGTTGGCATTGCTTCAACATTGTACTTTTTCGCAATACTTTGGTGATTGGGTACGTCTACTCTCAGAAAGATAACATTCGGAAACAGTTTGGCATATCTATCAAAGTGGGGTGATATTAATTGGCAAGGTTCACACCACACTGCAAAGAAATCTATCACAACAAGCTTTCCATCTCTGTTGGCTTCATTCAACTTATTTGTCAAGTCTTCTTCGCTTGTCACAACTTGTAGGTTGGCTAGAACACATTAAAATTATTAATTATTAGGCCAAATACACTTTTACTTTATATACAGTAGGACCTCGTATTTCAAATCTGAAGGGGATATGATAAAAATTTGAGTTATCGAGTTTTTTTTATGAAATATTATGTTAGATTATGTGTTTTTTATGTTAGAGGTTCGAGTAATGAATGTGCTATACCAAAAATGTCAGATACCCTAGGTATTGAATTCTTACAACGATGTTAACCTTTATAACTTGACTATTAAACGCGCAAAAGCTTGTTAAAGTGATTTCAAGCTATTTACGTACTGAAGGGTAACTGTGGAAGCCAAAGCATGCATGCAAATGGTATACTGAATTACTTTCTCTTACTTAATCGGCCCTGATTTAAGCCACGTCTCCACCTAGCGCACATGTTCGTCAGTGTTCGATTGTCCACCGAACATTGTTCGGTGTTGTTTTGGTGGAGACACCTTTTCGAACATTCTTAGTGTCAGCGTCCCTAGTGTTGACTCCTGTTTGGAATCCTGTCCAAATTCAATTATGACACCAATAATAACAAAGAAAATCGTTTTTTTTTAGCGAATTTCCCATATAGGGAATAAGCTATTACCGTAGTACTCATGGTAAGACCTGGACGCGGGACCAATTTTTTTTTTCGTTTCGAGGTCCCTAGAGGCCAAAAACACCATCCGTTCAAATTCATATATATATATATATTTATATATTTATATATTTATATATTTATATATATATATATATGTGTCCGTTAGCACGATAACTCGAGCAAAAATGATCCGATTTTGATGAAATTTGGTACAAACGTGTAAACCTACGTTTATTCGAACGAGTTCGCGATCCAGCATGATCGGACCATGGGAACGGGGGTTTACGGGGGGTTTTATGGGGTAAAAATAGGTTTTTCGCATTTTTGACCCAAAAAACATAAAATTTAGCAATTTCTTTCCAAACCATTTTGTAGAGCTTAAAAAACAAATAATTTAGTATATTGAAGCGTTATTATGCGCCTAATGGTTACGGAGAAAATTCCAAAAAACTGTAAATTTAAAATTCCCATGTTATTCTTATGGAGAATAAGTAAACTGTTGTAGTTTGCTTGTTTATGATCATATTTTAATCAAATTTGGATAATGCATTCATTTCATACTAAGCGATTAACATTTTACAAAAACACCTTTTTACCCTCCCTGTTGCAGCAAACCTAAGTACTCGTTAAACTAATGTTATTTAAATAGGGAATGAATGTGATATTTTTAAGGAGGCATTTTAGTGTAAATCCAATCAGGCAAATGGAAATTCGCTTAGTCTGCAGGTTTGCTGCGGCGGGGGTATTTATTTTAGTAATGTAGGTACTCTTTGTTTTAAAAGTTTATATTTTAAGGCCTAATCTAAGAGTACAATAAGTTTATTATTGTTAACAGTACATGCTACTAATCCTTTGCTCTGCTAGCCTCACACTTGGACTATCATTCTTGTGCCATTAACACTTAGTATTTATCAGCCTTGTTTTAACTGTAATGTGCCACTTAAAACTTTAATCTATCTCAACAACAAATTCTAATTACTAGAAGCTCACCAGGAGGTTCCCCAGGTTGTTGGTCCAAGGGACGCCACCACCACGTAGCTCCAACAAATAAAAGCAGTGTGATCTAAAAAAAAAACAAAAATAAAAAAAACTAGCTCATGTACCCAATGCTTTGCAATGGCAAGAACAGTGTTAAAGGATGTAGTCCCTTCACATAAACCACCTTAAAAGTTAAAACCAATACCTCAGATTAAAATTATGGCTTAGACATTCTATTTCTCTCGAAATTATCTTCATTTTTAAAGAAAAACAATGAAAATCTGTGGAGTGGTTGTATCAGAATCAGGAAAAAACCCCTTCACATTTTAATATTTGGTAATATAACATTTTAAAAGATTTTCATAGATGTAAGAGTATTATTTGGAGCAAACTGTTACTTCCTTGACCACTTCAATATATTCAAAATATATTTTATTTTATTTTACTGTTACCGTTGCAAATAAAAAAAGTTCTCTATTCTGATATTTTCTCACTGAATCAAATCATAATAAATAATTGAGTTTTGGAGAAATTTCTTAAGTAATGACCTTGTTATTTTTTAAATTAGCTTTAGCATATTTTTAGCATTTAGCCTACAGTTTATGTAACATTAAAATAACTCCTTAACCAGTCTGAAGGTAAGGTTCAAGCTAAAGTCTATCATTTTATGTAGATATAAATAGTGTTCATTAAAATTTTAAGGCTTAAAAGTATTACTATACGTCAAAACCTCTACCATAAATTCTAAACATTGCTTTAGGCAAGGTTGTCTAAACCATGGTACTATCTTGGTAATACAATTCATTTTTCAATGTTTCGCAGTTTTAAAAATTGCTGCAAAATACCCTGAAAAAAAAATTAATAAAAAACTATCATAAAACTTACCGGTACCAACAAGATCAAATACACAGGGGGAGGGGACATGTTCGTAGATCTGTTACTATCCCCTTCCGTTGATTGACTGATTCAATTATAGCTGCACAGATGTTGTGTATTTGTCATCTCAATAATTAATTATGGCAACAATTTTATAACAACGTTAAAAACATACAAGTAGGCTACTATAAACATCCCATGGATATATCAGTATGGAGCAGATCAAAATATAAAGTATAACACCTCGAGTAAAATCTTTGATAAAAAATGTCTTCCTCCTCAGCAAACAATAGTTTTTGGATAAAGGATGCCTCAAAGTGCAGTAGAAATAACAGCACAGTCCAGAAGTAAAAGTCTATTAAGAATAAAACATCACGACAATAAATCAATAATGACATATACATTATGTTTGTATTTGACAATTGTGAGATTTGATCTAGCAAACCTCTGGGTCCTGTATGAAAAAAATACGTTTATAATAAAATTTAAAAAATTATTAGTATCATGAAGGCATCAAAATTGCATTAGTTTTAAGATGAAAATGTATTATTTATATACCAAGAGTTGTTGAAATATATATTTATTAATTGGATCATATATTGCTAGATTGTATAGAGGCTATTGTTCTGTTTCTAAAAAAGGATATAAATATACATCCATTTTAGAAATATGTCCATTTTTAAAAAATGAATTGTTTTATTTATTTATCTTTTTTTTATCTGATTTACGAGGAGAACAGTTTACGTTAATTTAGTTATTGTTGTACAAGTGCTAATCAGGTACGCCAGCCGCAACAGAAGGGCTGGGCTGTATGTCCATTGTTGTATTTAGTGCTAACAAATTTATTATTGTACATTTATTTTGTAAATAAAAGCACTTTTTAATTTCATTTCACTTGATCTTTCCATCTGTCTGGTGCTTACTGGTCTCCCCTCAAATACTAAAATAAGAGCATTTTCGGGTCTTCTCGCCGCTTATTAAGTTGGCAAAAAGTTTTCACCACTTACTTGAAAGAAATTGAAAAAAAAAAACTAACCATACAATTGAGTTTTGTGCCTAAAATCAATAATTGATGAGCAACTATTTCAAGGTAAATTTAAAGAACAATATTTTCCTCTTCTTTCCCCTGCAATAGGGGTATTGCAAAAAATAGACAATTGCAATAAGCACTTCACAAATATATGCCAAAATCCCCATAAAAAGGAAGGGTACTCTGCTAGCAAGGAATTTAATTTACTACTGTATTTTTTTTTTAAATTTTACAATGTAAGCTAAAATTAAGATATTTTAGGTCTTTGAAAACATTTCTGTCTCAAATTGAAACCTTCCTTGGTTTCAAATGCTGTCAGGGAAAAAGATATTCTCTTTTGAATATGGTGTGAATAACTCTTGCTTAACTAACCATTGTCATTGGTGACCAGAGGTTCGGGTGTGCACTGGTGGACAGTGGACAGATAAACCTGAAGCACAAGAAGTATGAGGAAGATTACCGGCCCATACAGGATGACTGTGACTGCAGCACCTGCAAGCATTACACTCGCGCCTACCTGCATTGTATAGCTACAGCACTACCAGTGGCATGCCACCTGCTGACCGTACACAACCTGTCGTACCAGGTAAGACATTGGGTTCAGTTTTATCATTTTTATTTGCTTATAAGCCACAGAGATTATTGTATCATGCAAATAAGTGGATATCTGTGAATGTACGTTTTCATCAAGGCTCGGGATTGGTGCTAATTGTTTAAAGTACACGCTATATTCCATTTTGGTTACAAACATGCTACAACTGTCTATAAACTATTATGTTTTAATGGATAAAATTTAATTCAAATTCTGTCCTTAGAAAATTACAGCTTAAATGTAATACTGCCTGAAGGCCAGTAATACGAGGGTTGTTCATAAATTAATGTCTCCTTTGAGCTCCTGTCGCAGTCAAGTGAGCCGGTTCAAATCTGAGACCAATCTAGTTTCTTCAAGTCTAGCCAGTTCTCACCACTTTGGGAGTATAAATTTCGTCATATGAAACAGTTGTGAAAGAAAATAAATACTCCAGATACTGAGGTCTTAGTCATCAACTGCTTTTAAAGTCCGTCCCCAGTTGTCTGACAAGAATGGAGTAAGGTTTTTGGATTTATAAAATGCGAAAGAGGTGGGGTAGACTTGGAATTTCATCAGTCTCGTTTGAGGCAATGACCAAAGCTAGAGAAATATTTGCTGTGGATCACGGTGTGACCGAACAGGAGAGATTCCCAAACTAATTGAAGAAGTCTCTCTTTCAGCTATAAAATAAAGCACAACAGCAAACACTGGTAGCCCTAAACACATTGGCCATCAAGCAAAGTTTTTTTAAATTTTTTACTTCAACAGGTTTCCTACTGTCCGTCTCATTCAGTTTTGTGAAGTCTCCACTCCAGACACCCAGTACAATACACTGTCTCGGTGAAAACTGATGAACACCTGTCGTTTTGCAAATATGTATGACCCGCTGTGAGCTGTCTAAGCCACATTTTATACGTCAAAACACTTTTCTGTATGGATATATATCAACTGGCAACAGATTGTAACATGGGTTGACCCCCTTCCTTCAGAAACTTAAAGTTAATAACATAATGTGACATAGGCTAATAGACTAATAGGCCATTAGTAATATGAAACAATTAAAACCCTCCCATCCACTTTAATGAAGTAAAAAAAAGAAAATTGGTTTAAGATTACTGCTAGCTTGCTTGGCTGCAATAAATCGATGAAGACCTTAATTTACAGACATCCCTCGAATATTTTTTAATTGCAATAGATCCTCTATAATCCAACATTGTGCCACTCCGGCACTCCAGTAATCTGGAGTCTTTTGACGGGTGTGGTCTTCTGCAATCGCGGCAAAATTCTGATTATCTCCTGCGGCCATATAGACAAATAGACATCATCATCCATTCCACTCCCGCTTTCATAGAAACATCATCGTCATTAGTTTGCCTTAATAAAGAAGCATTTTCATTCATTCATTGATTCATCGTCATCTTGCGCGATGTTTGACAAAAATCTTGAACATCTCCCGCAGCCGTGTAGACATTATCGTCTCCCACCATCATGGAAATGTCATTGTCGTCATGCCCGATCGCGGCAATAGCGGTTTCTGATTGTGCGATCTTCGGAGACGTGTTTTAGTATATTTTAAGTGTTTTTATTGATAACATTCCCGTAATCCGGCATTTTCACGGTTCTATATCTACTGGATTACTGAGAGTACTGTAATTGATTGAGTAAGATATACAATCATGCTACATAATCATTTTCTGTTTTTAGATGAGGCTTATGAAAGGAATGCGAGAGAGTATAAAGGCTCAACGATTCCCGGAGTATGTACAAGGTTTCATGAGCAAAATGTACTCAGATAGCAAGTATCCAAAGTGGGTGACTGACGCTTTAGCTAAAGTGAACATTCATTTGACACCAAGTCCCAACAGAGAAAATGTGACAGAAGTTCCAAATAAAAAACCTTTAAAAGACTCTTGTAACACTTGTACATAAAGTATTTCATATAGATGTTTATGTTTACATCAATAACCAGTCCTTCCTTTCCTTTCAGTAGTGTCACAACGACCAAAACAATTTTTGAGCTGTTTCATGACATCCAATATAATATTTGACTGTTGCACATTCTCACCATGTCCAAAAATACAATAACTGCAATAAACATAGCCTTTCTACAAGCTTTGGACGTCATGGGATTGGTCGTCGTGCAACAGCGCACTTTATACTCTTAAAAAAGTATTAGTAGCACCACATCCAAAGCCGCTGTTAAGCCATTTGCACGACGTCCAATAGCTCAGCTCTGTTGCACGGCTTCCAGAGCGCCTACACACTGTGAATTGTTTTTTTTTTGTCTTTATTGCATACTAACCTAACATAACCTAATTTAACCTTGATCTGATTGCATTTGTGTTCAATCAGACAATAAAAAAATTCCCTTATTTGAAGATTAATTCAAATTTCGAGTGTGTTTTGAAAGTAAAAACAATATTTACTCAATCAATTGCCTAAATAATTGTTGGGACCTCCAGAGACCTCAGTATCTGGAGTTTTTTATTGTCTTTCATAACGGCTTTGGACGTGGTGCAACTGCTACTTTTTTTAGAGTATAAAGTGTGCTGTTACTTGACGACCAATCCCATGACGTCCAAAGCTTGTAGAAAGACTATGTTTCTAGCAGTTACTGTACTTTTGGACATGGTGAGATTTGGACGTCGTCAACAGGCAAATCTTTTATATTGGACATCGTGAAACAGCTCAAAAATTATATTTTGGACGTCGTGACACTGACTTATATCAATGGACGTCCTGCAATGCATCCTTTACCATTAGAAACATTGTTGGTCAGCAAGTCATTTTGTCTAAATTCTAGACTTTAGGTCAACTATGGACCAGACACATAACACAACTTGCAATTTATACATTCAAGGTCGGACATTACTGTGGAAATCAAAAGGTAAGTTTTAAATAATACATCTAGTTGTATTGTATGTAAATTTTACATCTATTTATAGACAACACTATCAATTACATTTGTACAATTTTATGCATATACACAACAAATATATATATTTCTATAACATTAAATAATCACCAAATATAATTTACAATGCTCGTTAAAAACTTAAAAAGGTAAACAACGTAAATACAACAAAAATTCAACTACACGTTCTTACTAAAAATGTAAAAACAACAATAAACATCATGTCAAACATGAATCTCTATCTACAGACTATCATCTTGTTTGGAATCATTGAGAAGGGAAGGATTCACACCTATACGAGCTATTGTACCTATTTATTATGTTTGTTTGCTATACTATTTATCGGATTATGATTTATTTTTTTATTGTCAGAAGTTAGAAACCTCTAGGTATGTGTTCACCAACCTAAAAACTATACTTTTTAAGCTTTACAGTCCTAGCTCTAGTTAGATTGTAAAAATAAATCAATTTAACAATGTTTTTGATTAGGTAGTGAAATTTAGTAGAACAGTTATACTTAATTAGTATTTATAGAAAACCCATGTTTTAGTCTTGGAAATAATCGAAGGTATTTTGTATAGATTTGTTTGTATTCTGATTACAAATTTACAATATTTAGCTAAAAACGTGTGTGTAAAGTAAAAATTTAATTAGTGTTACTACAAATGAGACAATATTACATTTTTTGTAGGTTAACCTAGTTAAACATCGGGGGTGGAATTTTGTTAAGAAAATTTCCTAACTCTCAATGTTTTTTATGAATTACATTTTCAGGCGGTGGAGTCACACCTAGAAAAGGCCATTGATAGTCGAAGGTTCAAGCCATACAGATCTGGACAGGCGCAACAATCAAAACAAAATATGATAACAACTTATTAAAAACTGAACTATTCTACTGTACATCTAAAGCTATATTCAGTCGACATGTAACACCAATACAACAAGAAGCTTTTCCGCTCGAATGTGACATGAGTATTATGTAGATACGATGACGGGCATTGCTTTGGTGTAGAATACAAGGGGATCTTAACATTAAAGGAACAAAATTGTTCACACATTTCCTCTAACACTAATCGGATTGTAACATGTAATTTTACAGTTATTTGAACCAAAACGGGTTTAAAACATGATTCAATATTTGTGAACATGAATGACTAGTTTATGACTTATTCAATGTCCTGATTTCAAAAAGATTCGTAAAGGGGTGTTTTAATAAGATGTTAAAGCAAACACAAAGGAAAATCGGTCTTTGCCACAAATAAAAAAAAAAACTAAATGTGGATTTGAACTCAACTACATACTTTCTGAATTTTGCAAGGTATGCTTTCGAGTACATGATAGAATATGCTCAATCCTAAAACACCCCTCAATCTGATTTATGAACTTTCCTGAATTTCCAAAAATGTTTTCCATTGGACATAGTTCAGTGTCGTTTAGAATCATGAGTCAATTAGCTTAACCAAAGCTCCACAACAACTAAACTTAATTATTAAAGGAATATTTACAATGAGTCACAGCAACAATGATTAACTTAACCTAAAGTAAATCTAAATCTACTGATAACGAATCAAAGAATTTTGTCAAATGGGCTTGTTTATTACACCAGTCAAACAAATTAACCCTTTGGCTGCCAAGAACTTTTGCTGTTTTCTGTGCGAGAACGGCCAGCTGAGTTTTCTGTGTGTAACCGACAGCTGCCAGGGCTATTAGCCATATGACAACCAGAATTGCCAGGCCAAATCATGTGATTTTGCAATGTTTTTAAAAAATAACTATAACTTCCCTTATAATATAGATAGAACCTTATTTCTTTTTTTGTTTTAAAGATAAATATGTGCTCTAAACGTTGATATATATTTAAATTAAAACTGGTCAAAAATTTTTTGCACAACTAATAAAATGATATAAAATAAAAATTTTTATAAAACATATTTATTTTTTCAAACTAAAAATTTTTTTCTAAATTTCACTTAACTCATTAACCAATACTATATTTCGATTTACTATGTTGTTTTGTCATAGTACACCAATTTTCATTAATTTTGGACAATAAATAATAATAAAAAAAATATTTTAGAAAAATAGTAGTGTTGTTGCAAAAATCTGTCATTATAGGCCTACACCCTAAAATAAACATAAAACTCAATAGCGTCAGGCAATTACATGTAGTTTTTTGTATTTTTTATATTTTTGTTGCTGAAATATAATGAACATTAAGAAAAAAAATAAAACTTAAGGAAATGAACAGCATAAAAAAACATATTTTACTTACATATAAGTGAAAGCGGCTCAAGAACTGGAGAACAAAAGTTTGGAAACTCTTGAGGTAAGTTCACTTAAAATCTTGAGAAACACTAAATAAAAGTAAATTCACAAAAACAAAAATGTCAAGTCAATAAAACGTTTCCTTAATATCTACTATTTACATATATAATACATTTTTGGTTATTTTTTCGAACTAAAACTTGCAGTTGTGCAGCGTGACACAGTCCAAGTGCAGACCTCTCTTACACTTGACGCAGACAGTCCTGGAGCGCCTCCTCTTCCCCTCTTCGTTTTTAGATCCACTGCATTCAATACAATCCTTTTCCCTTTTTCCATCTAACTTTTCCACTCCACACGTTCGATTTCCTTGCGGCGCATCTCCTCCTCCGTTCTCACCTCGTGCTTGATTTTTTTCTGAAAGCCAAACATCTGCTAGTGATTCAATGACAGCTATCTGGAATTGTAGTCTGGACATTGGTTTGTCTGTATTCATTTTATAAATTACGTAGCTGTTCAGGCACATTCTTCCAAAAATGTTAAATACAACTTTCTTCCAGTGCTTCATTGTCCTCCTCTCGTCCAAATAAGTGTATAACATCTGATCTGTGCCGTCGATGCCCCCCATCCCATGATTATATTCGTATACAATTTGGGGTTTGTTTTTGATGATAACTTTCCCAGATCTCCTAATTGTATATCTTACATTTTTGGCTTTGGCATTAGTTGACATTATTATAAACTGTGTCCTATTAGTCGGTTTTTCTCTATATGCCATCTGTAGGATTGGCCCTTTTCGGACGTACACCTTCTTCCCTACATCATATTTCCCTCGAAGCTGTCTGGGAATACCTTTTCTGCCAACTCGCACGGTTCCGGTCAAATGGGTTTCATTAGTGTACAAAAACCTAGCCAGCTTAGTTGTTGTAAAAAAATTGTCCAAATATATATGGAAACCTTTCTTCAAAAGGTTTCCCATTTCCAAGAGCTTTTTGACAACAGCATAGCCGACACCAAACTGATCAGAGACACTCCTATCTTCGAATGCAGCTCCACGGTAACAATAAAATTGGAAGCAGTAGTTCGTTACAGCGTCGCACAACACCCACAACTTGATGCCCCAACGATGATGTTTTTTTTTGGGGATATATTGTGTGAGGGCCACTCTTTTCTTCGTACCAACCAATGACTCATCTACGGATAGCTTTTGATTGGGGGTATAGAAAAAACGAAACATTCTGTTGCAGTGGTCAATCAATGGTTGAAACCTTCCACATGGGTCATAGCCTGGATTCCCTTGAGGCACTAACATGTTCGAGTCGACAATGTGGAAGAACTTTAGCAAAAGCTGGAATCTGTTCCTCGTGAACATATTAGAAAACCATTTTATGTTTTGGGACGAAGAAACAAACCAATAGCTTGGAATGGATGGCTTTTGGTTGATGCCCATATTCAAAACAACTGATAGAAACCCCTTCATTTCAGACATGGTCACATCCACCCATTTCTTGACTCGACTGTTTGGTGACAAGTTATTTCCTCTTGATTCAATAAACCTTTGAGCATATTTGTTTGTTTCCACAACAAATGTGTTTATCAAAGTGGCCGTGAAAAATAGATCGAAGTATGAAATCGGAGGACTATTACGGGGGGGGCAATGTTTTGGCCCGGACAGTTCATTGAAAACAAACGAATGTTCATATCCACGGTCAACGTCATCAAAAACTTCTTCCCAATCACTACTTTCTGGACT